AAAACCAAGACATTTGTATGTGGGGAAGTTGCAATGCCGCAGAACAATAGAGAGTTCTATAGTTCTTATACGCATTGTTACTTAAATCTTGATCAATTATTTATTACTGTCAATTTTTTTAACAGTGCCGGGCCAAAAAACCCGCCTAGTGTACGTCACATGCTTTTTTTTGAACGGTKAAAACATATTACGTAACTATGATGAAGTAATTCGGTTTCTAACTATCGATTCTACAGATATTCGACCAAAATGCTGCTGAAATTCYTGATCATTTCGTCGTATAATCTAATGCCAACCGAATCTTCACAATCGTTTTAATGCAAAGTTTTCCTTAATAAACCAGTCTATACTACTAATACTTGTTTTGCTAAACCAAAAAAAATGTCTCTCTTAATTATAACGCATGAAATTCCATTCTCTACAATATCCTATTCCCAACATTTCCGTTTGTTTGTTTATGTGTCTTTTATATATTTCTTATTTTCTTTCTTCGTGCGTCATTTCAATTCAATGTTGTTGTTGTTTTTTAACTAGAATGATATATTGGCCATAAAAGAAAATAAAGCAGTATTCAAATCAAACTGACTCCCTTACAAAATTTCTAGCTATTGACCCAGATATTGATGGTGAATTCGCCCGAAATGCTGATAGAAATTTTGATTATTGCGGCGTTCCAACTGATGCTTACAGCCGAATCTTCTGTACACTCGCCRTGTTCGTCTACATATACCCAGAATTCCTTCGTGCTTAAAAATCACGTGATTCAAGAGCTGCAATCACAAAACCTAAGCTATTGCGAGGAGAAATGTGCATCGCATAATGAATGCTACAGCGTTAACTTCTACCCTAAGCATCACAAGTGCGAACTCAGCAAAGAAAACCACTTTACAAGTCCCATTGACCTTACCCATGATTCAGATGGAGTGTACAGTCACGTGATCAACCATCAACGTCCAATGAACGCTTGTAGTGACCAATACTGCAGTACGAACCATGCTTGCTTTGTAAAAGATGATGGGAAGGACTACGAATGCAAAGGTGATTCTTGAGAATTTGCTTTTTTCAACATAGAAAACTATAAATTCATGATAAATACTCAGTTTTGTTCCTTCTACGTGTGTTTTAATATTCCGAGCTTTCGGACAACTTGTCCATCATCAGGGCAAAATGAAATTACAATGCGTGCGCGAGGATACAAATGTAAACAAAACACTATGGTAACATAACTGCTTAAGAGCGCGCAATAGTTCAAATCAATTAACAT